TTTTTTTTTTTTTTGCTACCAGTTGCAAAATAATGCCTGATGAAGAACCTTGTGTGGCCCCTGCATTCAGGGAATAGTGAAGGAATGAGGAATGACTCTCGTTAGGCTTTCTGGCCAATAATGCACAGATTACAGCCTGTAAGTATACACCCTGCTGGGAAGGTAGTAGCTGTGTTGATATGACTGGGGTTGAGCACATGATTAACTATGAGCGCGTGAGCAAGAGGAAGAACATGAAGTCTTAGAGATGTCAAGTAGAAGTTGTTCTTCCTGACAGTGGTTCAATGGTGGCCTGTTATGCCCAGGCGTATGTACCTCTGCTGTCGCACACAGTTGCCCAGGCCTTTGTCCCTGGGGACTACTGCCTGACAACAACTGATAGGTTCTTCATACCCTCTCAGGGTACTTTTTTAACAGCCTCATTCTAATATCTACAGCTATTAGCAGTTTAACAGAGCACCTACTTCAGATGCGGGTGTGGGGTGGTTTGCTGCTTGGACGTTTCAGTGGGGCTTGGCTGGCTAGGAGCCCGGCCTTGAGCGGGAGGTCTAGGCTGCTGTGGAGGGAACACGCCTGCCTTGGAGGCCTGGACTGGAGAGGACCCAGTTGCTGATCGGACTTGCTGTGGAGATCCAGGTGACCTTTGCTGCTGAGGTGAAGTGGACTGGGGACTCTGGGGCTGCTGTCCTTGAGGGGAGAGCCGCTGCTGCGGAGGTGCGTTTGTCCGTGGAGGCTGAGATCCCTGGGGCTGGCGTGGTCCACCTGTAGACATAAACATGAGGAAGTGCATGTGGTGGACAACAAGCAAGGAGCCATCTATATGGAAGAATGGGTTTTGCTAGGGGAGGAGACTATTCTCAGAGTAGCTTCATGCAGAAGGATAAGGGAAAACTTCTTCTATTAGCCTAACGCTGGTGTCATGCCCACATCTCTAGAGTTGTGGTCCATTTCTCTACCTCCTTCAGCACTGAAGTCTGCCACTCTCCCCAAAGAGTCACTTCAGTGTGCTGTACTCTTTCATGGAACTAATATTTCTTATCCTTGGCAAGCACTTCCTGTGTTGGGAAGGAAGAGTCACTGGAGAACCAATGCTGCAGGAAATGAAAGCTGAATCTGCTGGTTTGGGCCAGCAGTCCCTTTGTGGGCCCAGCAGTTTGATGTGAGACTGTGCATCCTATTGCTATCTATACATCTGTTCCAGCATTATCAGCAGGTAGCTTCAGCCATATTGGTAGAAGATTCTCAAAACTGAAGAGGATGTGGAAAATAATTGGATGTGACATGAGAAATTGCTGGACATGACAGGTAACAGTGTGAGAAGCTGATGAAAACAGCTGACAGCGTTGTGAGGGCTGGCTGGATCTCACAGGTGATCAAGGGGGGGAGTTATGTGAGAAAAAACTTCACAGAGAATTTAAGAGAAGTACTGGAGACAGATGGGGAAGTGGTATCCTGCAAGACCAGCAATTCCTAGGTCAACCTATCAGTTGTAGCATATAATGCCAAGATTACATTAGATGTCTTTGGTATCAGAAACACCAGATTTTGGATACAGCAAAGCTGTGACCAATAAGAAAAAGGTAATTAGAGGTGGGTGTTAATTTGGTAGGAGATTGGGGTGGAGAAATGAAAGGACAAAGGTGGCAAAAAGGAGGGTCTAATTGGTTATGTGAATTGAGTGGTTGGTGTGGTCTAGGAACCCACAGAGCAGTCCTGTGCTTCATTACCTCAGCATAAATCAAGACAATAAATCAAATCTGTTATTTTGACCAGGCACATAAGTCAAACCTGCTTCTGCTGTCAGGAGGAGGTAGGGGTGTGCTCTTGCTGACAGGGGAACACCTGGATGGATGGATCAAGGATCCTAGCATCACCATGTTGGTGTCTGTTCCAAGCCTGACAGCACCAGCATCTTCCCATCACTTAACGCTTGTGGCCACTACACCTTCGTGCAAACACAAATACACTCTGCACCCAGAACTCTGCTGTAGTGTTAATTCAAGTGGCCTCACTTTGCTGAGCCAAGTCCTACCAGCTGTGTCAACTGGGTCTGTACCAAAGTTTCACCCCACTTTCTGAGCTGCTGTGGAATATGGTAACAGCTGCTTTAACAGCACACTGGATTTGCTGTCTGCTTGTCAGCGAATTGGAACAATGAGTGAAACCTTTATCCTGATAGCTTTCATTTAGAAGTAAAACTGATATGTCTCAGTCCAAACTGTCATGGGGCCACAAGAACTGTACCTTGGGGAGGAGGCCGTGGTTGGGACAGTTGTCCAAGCTGAGGTCCAGTCTGAGATTTCATTGATGCAGGCTGAACTTGTAGAGGCTAGAGGAAAAAAGGCATCCCAGTTAATACAGAGTCCCCAAAGAGAAGCCTTGAGGTAATATAGGAACTGCGGAGTCATGAAGGGTTCCTTAAATATACACACACGCAGCATCTGGCTGGTTAAATCTCATGAGACTAAAATGGAGAGCTGAGTAATAAAGAGCACAGAAGTTGTTTGCTCACAGGGAATAACAATGAAGTTACAACTTAGAATGTTTTTTAGGCAATCAGGAATTACCAAATGTATCAGGCCCGAGGGGATCTCTTAGTCTGATCTCCCATTTTGGACAGTTGCCAGCACCAGATGTTCCAAAGGAAGGAGGGATGAACCATGGAAACATCTATGGAGTAATTGTCTCTTTACCCTAAGGGGTTTCCTCTTGATTGTTTATAGACAAGAGCCAGCTTAAACCCTGAAACTTGAAGCTTACTATCTGCTCCACAAAATCTTTGCAACAGTTCAGATATTTTGGGTTGATATTTACACTCAGACCCTTTGAGTCTTGCTCAGCTCTCAGCCTCACTGCTTTTCCTGTTTCTTAGCTCCATTGCTTTGTTCTGAGTTTTGAGAATAGTTCTCACAACCTGCCCTTGCTAGGCCATTCATTATTTTGCAAACCTTTACTGCCCTCTCTCTCATTCACCTCCTTTCTAAAACCAAGAGACTGAATCCCTTTGGTCCTTCCATGGGAATGTTTCCAGGCCCTTAATTATTTTCATCACCCACTTCTCTTTCCCAGCTTTGTGATTCCTTCTGCAGACGCCAGAGGCAGGTCTGCTTGTGTTATTCCAGATGCAGCAGTATCTGGGTTCTCTGTATACATCACCAGCTCATTTCTCCTGCATCCTAATTTCCTGCTTTTCCCTTGTCAACACAACCATAGGCTGAGCAATGGTTTTCATTAACCTGTATGCAACGATGTCTTTCTCAAGGGGCATGGCTAGTGCCACTTGCAAGGTCTGCAGATTGTTTATGCTCTCCATCTCTCTACCCTCATCTTAGCTTACCTTTCAGTCTTCCATATGGAATTTCATTTGCTGTTGTGGTGACTTAACATATATAGCTCTGTCAGATGTTCTTCACTGCCATCCCTGGTCCTGACTAATACAAATAAGTTGGTGCCATCTGCACTTTCTTCTCTCTCGCTGTTTACTCTTTTTGACAGATATTTTAATAAACAGATTAAGCAATGCAGAACTGTTGCACAAAGGGCTGGTCCAAGGTTAACAAAAGTCTGAGTAAGCCTATTGTACAAAATTGTTTATGAAAGCAGAGGAAGCTGGAGACAGATAGGCTGGTATGTGCTGGTTTATTTACATGGAGAACACAGTGATAAAAGGGTCTTCAAGGCTCCTGAAAGGTCAGGAGAATGAACTCAGTGATTCTGGAAATGGGAAATGTTGGAAATATTGAAAAAAGTTTCAACTGACTAACATATACACGATGAGGTTGCCAGACCATCTTTTACACTTTTTTTTCTGGGACTTGCTAAATGGACAGGGAGGAAAACATGGGAATTTTCCATTCATGGCTTCTAGTCCTACATAGCTTGGGACACTAAACCTTCCCTTTGTGCTGGTGGAAATTTACTGTCCTAATGCTGTGAGACATCCTGATTAGACCAACCAAAGAAAGGAGATCAGATCTCATGTTCACCTTTACGGGCTTTGTCTACAGCCAACCCAAGCCTTCTCAGAGATGAAGGCAAAACAGGATTTTGAGGCTCGGAGATGAAGGGGTGAGGGCCAGCCCAAGGTCTTCTCCTTTTTGAAGGGAAACAGTGATGGGAAGGGATGGAGGCAGGGCAGAGAGATAAGGAGAGAACCACAGCTGTAACCATAAAACCAGGTTTCATGTTGCAGCCATGAAAAAAAGGTTGTCATTAACATCTTAACCTATCCTGGGCTCAACTAACCCAATTATCAACGTGACCAAGCCTAGCATCCTTTACGTATCCCCTCTGCTAACTGTTTGCAAGAATTAAAATTTCTCATATCTATGTCTTTATCTGAGGCCAGCTTCTGCTCCACAATGAAACTTTGCCTTTTAGCTCCTCCCTGTTTGATTTCTTTAATAGTACTTGCCTGTTACCTTGCCTAAGGCTTTTTGACAGTCTAGCTACATTATTTCATTATTTTGACTGATTGCCTGCTATCTACCACTTTATGAAAGAATTCTCAAAGCAATGATGGGAAAAGAATCAAAAGGAAATTAATGGGACATTTTTCTTAAAAAGAAAAAAGTGGTAGATGATCTTAAGCCATGTTTCTGTTGGTTTATTAGTCTTCTGTATTATTCTTTAAATTATTGTCTGAGATAATTCATAAGGTCCATGACTCTTACAACTTTTTAAAAACATATTTTGTATTTGTTGTACACCAATCCTCTAGAGCAAAACTGTTTCTAATGAAATTGCACATTTTTTCTTGGCAGCTTTGTCACTTCCTAAATTCAGTTCATTGGATGTAGCCACCTGGGTCTGGGGGCTTAATCATTTTTTAAAATAACAGTCATCACTGATTTAATCATTATTTTTGCTCTCACTTCTGTCTCTTATCAGGAAAAAATATATCTAGTTTAAAAACTTTCCCACTTTCAGCAATTAAATTTAATAGAGTCACAACATTGTCCCTGTTGTCTTCCTTTTCTCCCTTAACTTTGGCTGATCAATAGAGCCCACCAATTGTTTGGTAGGGTTCCATCTTTTGATGAACTCAAAGAATTTGTTTAATTCTTCCCTCTCTTGTCATACCGTTACTTTTTGATACCACATCTGTCCCTTGGACATCAAACCTAATAGCATATATTAACTTTCTGAATTTGTACCTGGTGTTTCTTAAGGCTAGGTCAAGGTGTTTTTTCCTATTGCACTTGGATTTTGCAGGTCCAGGAAGCAGACATTGACAGAGATAGGGAACTCTCTCTGAATTGCTGTCCCACTGTGCTGTTTGACTTGCTTCTTGATAGCTGTAGTTTCACATTATTATGACTTGTTGCTTCTTCCACCTCGGTCAATGCTGTGCACTTAGTTTCATAACTTCTCAGTTTTTCTTGATCCAGAGACTAGTATAGAGCGCTCCAAAAATATGTATAGATATTCTATTCATACCCATAGAATATTCAAGGATTCATATTTCTATGTATTCAATACTGCTATCCTCCTATTCAGAATTGATATTTTTCTTTGTTCTGTGAAGTTTTCACCTGTAGCTCTAGTTCTGCATCTCACTAGCCTCATGTAATTACTTCTCTCTGCCCATTTGGAACTAGGTGTTACAGCATTATGTTAATTGTAGCTTGTGTGCTTTCTGCAGTGCTTGTTGTACCAAGATCTTTCTCTATAGCAAAACACTTTAGTTAACATGTTTGTGATTTTAATTTTCTTGATTTTGCATACAGATATTTCTAGGTTGTATTCTTGACGAAGACCCTTTTCTTATTTAACTCTTCTATTTGACAACCTATTGCTCCAAGACAATTTATTTTGTTCTTATTTTGGTTCTATTTTAGGTCTGTTGTAATCCAATCATCTACCAGTGTATTACATAGACAACAGATGGATCTGTCCACATTCTCAGTTTCTGTTGGCTTCCCCTTTGGTCTTAGTTTATAAACTCTATATCTTGGTTATTTCATATGGCAGTTGTTGATTTTACTTTGGCCAGAGTAAATCCTATCCCTTCTGTATCGCTTTCCCTGCCTCAAAGTAATTTTAGTGTCTATTACATGTTTACCCCCTCACTGTAGCTAAAACTCGGTTTGGAGTTACCCTGACTACCCTTCATGCTGGGGACTTGGTTTAGCAGGAGCGGGCTGTCCTACAAGAAAGGCAGAAAGCCATAAAGTCTTTTCTCCCATTTTTTTGTCTCAAGTGGAAACTGTTCCAGTGCACTGCAGTCAGTATTATCCTTCAGCCTGTTTACTCTGCTCTCCTTTCTTCTGTACAAATTTGTTGTCCTTAAACCTTTGTGCTTGGCTCCCTGCTAGATCCTGGAAGAGGTGTAGCACATATACCTGGAGACACAGATTATGTTCTGGTGTGTTTAATTTACACAGAACTGCTACTGGGAAACATGGCACTAAGATTAGAAGCATTTGATACTCAAAATGAATGTACATGAGAAGCACTAAGGGCAAAAATGACAGATTCTTATATAAATTCAGCATTAGTCAAGCCTCCTCCTGATGAAGGGGGTAAAGGGCATCTCCAAAGAAGAAAGGCTGCAGTAAGGAATGGAACAACTCTTGGTGGAGATTCCCACTTTCTGTTCTGGGAAACACAGATTTTCATCAGGGATGCAAAAACTGGAATGAAACCTATCCTGAGGGACGGTGTTAGATGGAGATAAAGTCGGGCGTTACAAGAACTTCTAAATATGGCTGTCTTCAATATGAATCTATGAATTTAGCAAGCCAGAATGTCTAGATGCATGGGCTACACTACTGGTGTGACGCCACAGTTATGTGGAAGGAGAGGAAGGGAGAGAGAGGTGGTTCTTAGGGGCACCCACTGCAAAAAGTTTACAAGAGACTTCTCTGGAAGACCAGGAGTCAATCTATCCAATACATTCCCATATGAGACTGTTCAGCTCTCTGAGATGTCTGACTGCCTGACACCCACAGGGAGGAGAGAGAAAACAGAAGTTCAGGAAAACAACTTAGCCATAAGTTCTCTATTTGCTCATACCCAAGGCCTCAGCGGTGACGGCGTAGATCCAGCAGTGATGACAAGCTGAGTCATTTTGGAAACAACTAGATCAGCTATAAGCTGTCTATCCTCTTCCACGTGCTCCCCAATCAGGGGCATTGAGCTGTCCATCACCTGCCACAGGAGGGAAAACCAACAGTTAGTAAGGAGGTTTCCTGGTGGCAGATGCCTGTTTCAACTCACCTTTCACACTAACCTGATTTGTGTCTCCACATCCTTGCCAACACCTCCAGTCACCACTCCCCTCCATGCTGAAATGCGCTTGACTTTCTAGGTGTTGGCTTTCACTTAGGTTTGGGTTTTTTTTGTGGAAATGGCATGTACTTCCCCCCCACTCCCCATCTTCCTTCCCTTCACAACTTGGAAGCCAAGCCAAGCTTTCTGGTTGCTGGAGGCTTTCTAAATCAATTAAACGCAAACTTCCTTCTTCATATGTCCTGAGGAGATGCCTGTGATGGATGAGGTCTTTCTGACATTGTCCCACAGCATTTGGGGGTGACATTGCAGCAGAAAGGGCCACAGGAGAAGGGAAACAACATGTACTGAAGCCTGAGGAGATGAGAGCAACAGGGACTGGAGGAAACCAGGAAACATTTGGAATTAATCAATGCAAAGCACTGCACCCTGAGAGGGGAAACAAACACCACAGTTGTGTAATGAATAGGATGTCACCAAACCAACAGCACCCAATGCAGGAAAGTAAACTTATTCTCTGCTTGTCTTCTTGCTATTGTCATGATATGACTGCTTCCCGAGCAAGTACTACAACTGTACTGCGGAAAGCTGGGAAGCAAGACTGTGGGGAAGAAGAACTGTCAAAGGGTCTTTGAGGTAAGAAATGGTCTGACAACAACAATAATAATGAAAGCACAGCAGACCCTCAGCAGTACAGCAGCCCTAAACATAATTTTCAACAGTTCATCATAAATCAAGTGCTTTGCAAACATCGGCTAAATCCCACAGGAAGAACTGCGCTATGATGAAGTTAAGATTCAGCTGAAGTAAATATAATTGTACCAAAATATCAGGGTTGGAAGAGCTTTTTTTATTTTGCTTTTATTTTTAAACCAAACATTAAAACCCCTGGAAATGCAGAGTTAAAGGTTGCATTGCTCAAGAAAGGCACTGACGCACACTCAGATAACAATCGGAAGCGTGCTCCACCCTGACAAGGCTGCAAGAGTCCACTCTTGGAGTGAAATGGGCAGTTTTGCGCCCTTTTTTTTAAGATTTAAAGTAGGGAAAATCAGTGAGGTGGGATCATCGAGTTTGCATTCTAGTATTTTCTTGTAGAATAACTATTAATTTGGATTAATTTCTATAGGTGTCTCATACAAACACTAGAGAAGCTGCCTAGGAAGTTTTAACTGAGGTTCACCTGTAGAGCAAGTTGGTGTTTATATCCATGGCCTATTTGACCCAGGGGGTGAAAGGAGGTTAGAAAATTAGATGGCAGTGCTCAGATAAATACACAAAGTGGCTTTTCATTCCACTGTCCATTTTGCGGTTTCTCTGTTTAAAATATGATGTGGGGAAAGGAGATGTGTCCTAGCAACGTTGGGGAACGGCCAGTTCCCATCTGTGCGTCGCTGCCCAGGGGTCCTGGGGGCTCTCCAGCAGGTTCCTGCGCGGGTTTCCCTCCCCTTCTCTCCCACCTTAAAAGCATTCCCATTTCATTTGGCAATTCCAGTTCACGCGTGAGAAAAGAGGTCCCAGCTCTCCGCAACGCACGGTGCAAGGGACCTGTCTGACCACTAGATGATGCCATTACCTTGCTAACAGCCTGGCCAGCGACGCCTAGCTCCTCACTCCCTAACCCTCCCGTGAGTAACTGGGATCCAGCTCTGGGCAAAACACCCCAAATCCTTCATTTCCCCACCTTAAGAACGGCTTTTTACTATTTCTGTGGAAGCAGTGGGTGGAGAGGAAGGGGGAGATGCTGTTTGAGAAAACAAAGGCACCAGAGGGAACGAACTCCGCAGTAGGTTCCACCTGAACCAGTGAAGGTGCACCAGGGATGTGGGTATCTGCTGTCCTGCTGTGTAGTGTCTGGCAGGGGAATGTGAGCTGTGGGAGACTGCAAACACGGGAATGAACAGTCACATGCATAAGGGAAGGCCTTTGAAAATGGCAGTGATTTCTGTGGGCAAAACGACATAGCTGATTGCCACCGAACTGAAAAGGAACATGAGATGTCACCCTGTCTGTCCTCTGGGACAGGGGAATTGCTCTGGAACTGGGCAGATATGAATGCTAATGCTGAAATAAATCAAACAGCTGGAAGGAATACGTGAATCACAGACTGATTGCACTCATCTCATCCTGGGGTGATCACAGAACAGCTGGGCAAGACAAGAAGGGTCGGCACATATGGACCCGGCTTTTGTAGCTGGCCAAGGTCAGTGGCTGCTCCTGACGCAGCTGCTGTTGCCTGATAAGGTGTATGAGGGGGGAGTGGAAAGCAGCCGGGCAGAGAAGAGAATCAGGAAAACCCCATCCCGCTCCTCCCCCCGCGCCTATCTGATGCTGAGGCCTGAAGGCTGGACTTGTTATTCCATGCTCTGATGTGGAAGAGCG